CGCGCACCAGCCACTCGCGCTGTGAGAACTGCTCAAAGTTGGACATCAAGGCATCAAACAACTCGCCGCCAGCGACGTGTTCGAGCACGAGCGTGTGGTGCAGCGGCGTGCTGAACGATGCGATGAAGCGCACCAGGTTCGGATGCGAAATGTGCTTGAGCACCTCGACCTCTCGCACCCAACTGACCTTGAGCCGCTCGTTGTTGTTGCAAGGCTCGCGGTCGAGCATCTTGAGCGCCACGAGCTCGTCGCTGATAGCCGCAGCGGAAGCGCCGTTCGTGTCGGTCTTCTGCTGCTGCATGGCCCTCTGGCGCAGCTGGGGAAGGCTGGAGATCATCCTTTCGAAGCGCGCCGATGCGTTCGATGCAGTCGATGAACTGCGTATCAAGCGGCCCAAGGCCACCCGGCTGAAGGCACCAACACCGAGCGTCTTTTCGATTCGGTAAGGCCCTATGCGATCGCCGTCTTCCTCCTCTTCTCGCGATTCGACGATCGCGGATTGCGACGGCCGTTCGCGTCCGACTGGCGCGGGTAGGATGCTGCTTCCGGTCGCCGATTCGGACGGCCCTTGCCGACGCGTCCTCTGGCTGAGACCTTTCGATGCTTCCTCGAGCCCGGTGCTGCTGTTGTCTTTGGCAACCGATGCGGACAGCGCCGACGAACTCGGTGCCGAGTATAGCTCCGAGCGTGATGACTGTGCAGGGCTGGAAAGTTGGGCATGCGTTGGCATCATGGCGTGGGCCGAGTCGATCGAGACATCGCCGGCCTCGCCGACCTCTCTCCAGGGCCTCTGCTCTGCGCGTGGAGGCACGGCGGAAGCCGGCGACGACTGGGCGCTGCGGTCGTCGTCCAAGAGCAGATGACTTCGACTCCGCGCGCGCCGAGGGCTGTCTCCGGCCCATGGCACATTGGGCGGTAGGCCATCCAGCGTGGCGCTCGGTGCATCCGAGATGGCCGAAAGGGACAGCTGAGACGTCGAATTGAGGTTGAAGAGATCGCCTGGCGCGTGCGGATCGACGGCGTAAAGGGGCGAGTACAACGGAGCGTCTGTGGACTGGATCGACTCGCCGGAGCCTATGCGGGTATGGCGCAGGTAAGCAAGTTGCTGTGGCCCGTAGTAGTGAGCCGATGTGGCTCGGGTGGTGGAGCCGCCAATGCCGGAGGTCGGCGCCTCGGTTGGCAAGGTCGGCAGTCTGGACGGCAGCCGAATCCTGCTGCTCAAGTCTGCCGACGTGACGCGAGGACCCATGCCATGACCGAGACTCGTTGCACTTGTTGGGGTGCGAGAAGAGGAAAGGTGGAAAGGCGCCGACGCCTCGACCGAGTCAGGATTTGCTGGAGGATCGGCGCCGCTGGAGGTCCCGCTGGAGGTCCCAGCCTTGATGCTAGGAGCGCGCGCAATCGGCGTTCCGGATGACGATGCCGAGTTGAAGAAGGACCAGTTTTTGCTGCCGACGTCTGCCGATGCGGCGCTCTTGGGTGACGACATGCCCTTGGCTTCGCTGACGCCGGGCATCGATTCTACGGACTGATTCCTGGCCGGTGTCGGACGAGATTGAGGACTGGCGAAAGAGTGAGCAGCAGGAGTGAGCCTGCTGGACGAGGCAGCGATAGGTACGTCGAACATGTCGCTTGTCTGCTGATTCTGCACTGCGGGACTGGGCAGAGGCGAGACGGGTTTGCCCTCGAACTCGTCCCAGTTGCGCCTGCTGCGGATCGAGGCGGAGGAAAGCTCTCCCCGGGGCGCTACGAACGAGCCCGTGGTGGGGCTCATGCCGAAACGAGATCCATTCTGACTGCCGCCGTCCACAGCTGCGGTGGAGCCAGCCATAGAGATGGCTCCAAAGCTGTCCAAAGAGTGGACCGAGAAACTGCTGTTGCTGGCTTCATGGCGGTCGACCGAGGCTGCAGGCGGAGAGACTGGAGGCGAGCTCGAAACAAAGACGCGAGCCAACGGCCCGGGTTGGGTGAGTTCTGCGCGCGGCGTAGTTGCATCGTTCCATGACGGCGTGATGATGGGGGTTCCGCTGGTGGTGGTTATTGTCGGCACGCCCCTTGAGTGGATCAGCATGGGTTCTGTGGTGGCGTTTTGGACGCCCGTGTCGACGGCTTGGAAGGGGGATGGCGGGATGGCGATGGTCCCAGATGTTGACGGCTCGCGGCCGTCGAGCTTGGATCTCGGATCGCTGAAGCGTTTGGCATCATTCTGCCGTGATCGTGAGAACATGGTCGACCGTGCGCGGCGTGCGCGGCGTGGACTGGCCGAAAGAAGGCTCCGACGGTTGGCGGAGCGTTTAAGGTTCGGGAGACGCTTCGCCGTGTGTGATCGTAGACTGGGCAGCAACGTGCGACTTGCCCAGACGCCAAATCACCAGTGCTCGCGTGCAGTACCAAGATCCTCGGGGCGAAGTAAAGAGCCCTCAGAGGCGCGATTCGGATGGACCGCAATGACAAAAGTAAGCTTGAACTATCGTCCCAGGGCCATTATCGGAGGGGCCGTCAATGTCAAAGCTGTGGTGGGTCGAGTCGGGTCAAATAGCCCCCGCGTATCAGTGCAGAAGAGCTGGGTCGGAAAGCTGTGCGAGGCGGAGGCGAGGAAGCACGAGCGAAGTGGAAGCGGCGCGCTGGCGGAGGCGGAAACGGAAGATCCGATCGGTAGAGTCCAGTCGAAGAGGTGCGGAAGTAGTCGAACGATCGGCGGCGCCGAGGACCGGATAGGGTCGAGAGTTGCGAGCTGCGGAAACGATCCAGCGGGTCACGCTGGCGCTGACAGGACGGCGAGGTTGAGGTCAAGTGTGAAGAGAGCACGGATCGAGTCTGTGGCGGCCAGCGTAGAGCACACGAGACCACTGCGCCGGAGCCCGAGGATAGGGGAGAGAGAAGGGGCAGCGATAGGGATAGGGATGGCTGACGATGTCCTCGGGTGAGAGTGCACGGTACGGCCCTGCAGACAGGTCCCGCCAGCCAGCCATCAGCCGGGTCGAGCGACACGGCGGACGCAGCAGCAGCAGCTGCTCAAGCTCTGCTATCCTGTCCTGTGCTGAGCCCTGAGCCCAAAAAATTGAGCTTTGACGACGCGACGCTCCGTCTCTCAACGCCAAACCGCACCGCCGCGGGCCGGCCGCGACGTTGGGTGCCTGTTCGCGCGTGCATCCGAGCGAGCGCGACTGGGGGCCAGCGGAAGCGACCTCACGACTTGGGCTTGAAGCCCCTGTACGTGTGCCCTCTGGGTTCGTGCCCTTGTGCCCGCGCGATTGAAATTTGGAAAATAATAAAAAAAGATCAACAAGAAAATGAAAAGGTCTGACCAAGCCTTGATGAGGTTGTTGTCACCACTGACTGGAGTGTGGATACCAACCTCAGCCGCTCCCTCAGCTTCACGGCGGTGTTGACATGACATGGACAAGGTTTGGAGCCGAGTCATCGGAGCAAGCCCCTTCTTCCCACCCAAAGATCAGGCTCGGAAAGAGCGCTTCGTGACAAACACGCGCGAGGCGCCGAGGTGGGGCCGAAAAGCAAGCAGCGGACGAATCTGAATGGACCCTGAACATTCGGCTTCTTGTTCGCCTCATGGCGCCTCGCCTGCTTGCAGATCCGTGGCGAAATGGCCGAGAGCCTTCGGTCGCGTTTGGCGGTGGCCACGCCCGGTGCAGATCCGCGCCGCACCGGACATTTCGCAATCTATGGTCTCAGGCTGCGGCATGCACCTCGTGCGTCTGTTCAAGCGTGTAAGTTACCCATACATGGCAAGGTGGTCAAGTTTCGCCCAACATCCAATCGTGTAATCCACAGCGAGCGCGGCTGAAGCAATGAACGAGTCGCCAGCAGGAGCAGCAGCAGAAGAGATGCAGGCTCCGGATTTCCGTGGCGGCTTCTCTGCTGGCTTGACAGCGCGTCTTCGCGTACAAAACGCTGATTGCTTGACAGTGATGCCCACACGCACAGTCTAACGAGTGGTTGTACGTGCCCAACGATTCAAGCACGGCAAACAATCGGACTGCTGCTTTAACTTGGGCTCTGATCCTCACGCCTGCAGATGCACGTTGCGCTTGCAGGCGATTCGTCGGCGAGAATGGCGAAAAGATGGAAACAACGGCCAGCGTCTGCACCTCGAATGGCGAATTCGCTTCATTTCCTTCTCCTGCAGACAGCCTTGCCCACCGGCTTCGCTCTGGATCGGCTCGATCGTGCTCGCCCGGGTCAAGCCTTTTCCAGTATCGGTCTGGTGTCGCAGCATACGCAACGTTTCCTCGCTTGATATGAAGGAGCTGCTCAAGCACTCAGCGTGGATTTGCACCTTCATTTCCAGGTCTGCCGTTCGGTTCGGCCGCGGTCTGTTGACGACGTCCTTTCGGCTCGGGAAGCGTGTGGATCAGACCCAAGAGAACATGTTTCCCAGCGCAGATGCTTCTTGCTGAAGTTACGTGAAGCAGGTCCAGCGACTCGTCAGAAGTAGGAGAATCGGCTGAGCCGACGACGATTTCTTCTGTTGTCATGGACAGATGTGAGCGAGAGTGCAGCTTTCGAGAAGTGCGCCGGCGGTCTCTCTGTAGCTCTACGAGGAAGTCATTTAGGTAAGATACGAGAGCGGGAGGTCTGGGAGGATCCGATCGGATCAGCCGAAGCTCTTCCCGGACAGTCGTTGCGCTTCGAGAGTATCGCAGCGTGCGGTATGATCGAAGAAGTCGGCAAAGCCCCGACTTACACTACCAAAACCTAGGCCCAAAAGGTGTGGGCAATCACAGCATGTATTTAAAGCCTCTTCTCCCGGAAACAGAGGACGTCGTCTCTGTTTGCTTCATCTTCTCTACTCGATTCCTCAGCATTCTGTCGAGTTGACGAGTACGACATGTCCCAAGAGTTGTCTTTCGACCTCCTGGCGCGGCAGTACGGTGTCGACTTGGGAGAAAGCACGTATGGTGTTCAGCCGTATCAAAACAGCAGCCAAGGGTTCACGCCGAGGTATGCCCAGGCCGACGCTTCCACGCGACTAGCATCTTTCCGGTGGCAAGCATGCGAGAACCCCGCTCCAAGCCCTCCACTCAGACAGCCGCCTATTTATCTCGATGATGGCCAGCTGCTAGCTCGTCATTTTGACTTTGAGAGAGCTGAAGCCGCTGGACTGCTGGCGCCGTCCGTCCAGCACGTGCCATCTGCAGCACCGCCGATGCCGACGACTCTAGCCCTTCCTCCTTTTCCTCCTGCGAGTTCGGGAAGCGACGTTCACACGTACGGAGCTAGACAGGAGCAGCCTCGACAGCTGCCATCTAGCAAGGCAGACGACATTTTCGTTGAGCCAGAACCAGGGGTGAGGATCCGCCTCGTGCCCATCTCCTACTTGCGTGAGTAGCCGAACACGCCGAGACAGCAACGTTGATCACCCTCGACAAGGGTTCTGACGCAACCGCTCTTGACGTTCGTTTGCACAACAGCGGCACTGTATCGGCCTCTCTTCTCATTCCCCTTCTTCAATGCTGTACAGTCGGTGGCCATTCCAAAGGTAACGTCTGACTGAGCTACGACTGATTCCGACATCTACCACAAAAATTCTGACCGAACGCACTGGTATGATAATTTGACGACTGGCGCAGGTGCTGGAGGCCGGAGACAATGTTGTTCTCTCGGCCCCAACGGGCTCGGGAAAGACCGTCGTTTTCGAGCTTGCGCTGCTTCGCATGCTGACACGAGATCCCGAAAGCGTCCGCGCCGTCTATCTGGCGCCGACCAAGGCGCTCTGCTCCGAACGGACCCGAGACTGGTCGCTTCGATTCGGATCCGTCGGCTGTGGTGTGACCGAGCTCACGGGCGACTCGTTGCACGGCCTGCATGTCGCTCGAAAGAGCCGCTTGATCATCACGACGCCCGAGAAGTGGGACAGCCTCACTCGCAAGTGGGATGAGCAGTCGGGCATTCTCTCCACCGTGCGTCTGGTCCTCATCGACGAGGTCCACATCCTGAACGAGCCACAGCGCGGCTCACGCCTCGAGGTGGTCATCACTAGGATCAAGTACAAGAGCAGTCAGGCACGCTTCGTCGCCGTATCGGCGACAGTGCCAAACCTGGAAGACATTGCTGCATGGATCGGGTCCAACATCCGACACGGCCGTGCTTCTGCCTCGATAGCAGAAACAGCCCCAGCAGAAATCCTCAGATTTGGCGAAGCATATCGACCCTGCCAGCTGGACAAGCACGTCTACGGCTATCCCAAAGCCAAGGACGAATTTGCCTTCCAGTCGTACCTGAACCATAAGCTCACGGATCTCATCCAGACCCACGGAGCGGGACGGCCCTGCCTTGTCTTTTGCGCCACGCGTCGTTCCACCGTTCAAGCAGCAAAGGCCGTCGCCGAAGGATCCAGACAATTCGGCACAGGACCTGTCGATGCTGCCCGCGCAATCACCGGTGATCCGTCGGAGCACGAGGCTGGGAACTTCGACGATCAGGACCTGCAGACGTTCTGGTCGTCACGCGTCGCTTTTCACCATGCGGGGCTTTCGCAGAACGACAGGCGCAAGGTTGAGCGCGCCTTTCTGGCCGGCCAAGTACACATTCTGTGCTGCACCACCACCCTGGCCACCGGGATCAATCTACCTGCCTACTGCGTCATCATACGGGGCACCAAACACTACGACGGGCAGTGGTCCGAGATGTCGGAGCTCGACATTATCCAAATGATGGGTCGCGCCGGCCGGCCCCAGTTTGATCGAAGCGGCGTCGCAGTCATCATGTGTGAGGACACGATGCAGAACCACTACCGCGAGCTGGTCAGCGGATCCCGCGACATCGAATCTGGCCTGGCTGCCAATCTTGTGGAGCACGTCAATGCCGAGATCGGTCTCCGAGGCAGGACAACCGAGGCGGACATTGAAGCATGGATCCGACAGAGCTTCATGTGGATCCGACTGCAGAAGAACCCGACCTACTACCTGGACCGGGATGAGGGCATCGGTCTTGACAGCGTCTCTGAGATACTACAGCATCTCAGCAGCAGGACGCTCACGGCGCTGGAGTCAGCGTCGCTGATCAGCCGGACGGAAGAATCAGGCAAGATCGCCGCCACGGAATACGGCGACATCATGTCGCGCTTCTTCTTGCGACACAAGACCATGATGGCGCTGATGGCGATGCCCGAGCACGCCAATACGCGGGCAGTCCTCGAGGCTGTAGCAGAAGCAGAGGAGTTTGGAGACCAGAGGCTTCGACAGGCGGAGAAAGGCTTCCTCGCCGGCCTTCGAACACATGCCGAGATTCGGTTCCCCCCACGACAGATTGCGGGCGTCGCTGACAAGGTGTCGTTGCTCATCCAGGCGTCTCTTGCCGCCGTCAATCTGTCGCAACTGCCCAAGCCTCCCCAAGGGGAGGCGAACCCGTTCTCGGACATCAAGCGAATCTTCCAGCATGCTCCTCGAATTGTCAAGGCCGCCGTAGACATCGCCATCTGCCGCCGGGACGGACCTGCATGCAAAGCTGCCCTCGACCTTGCACGGTCCATTGCTGCCCAGGCTTGGGATGGCTCGCCCGCCATGCTTCGGCAGATCGACCAGATCGGAGACCGCTCCATCAAAGCGCTTGCCAATGCTGGGATCAGCACGTGGCAGACGCTGGCCAACACGTCGGCGGCTCGAGTCGAGATGATTCTGAACCGCAATCCTCCGTTTGGTAACAAAGTGGTGGCGGCTGCTCAAACCGTGCCACGCATTGGGCTGGAAGTGGTGCAGCGCTCTTCATCGCCGTCGAAGCCGATCCTTCCAAGCGACGCTGAAGCCATGGATCTCATGGACCCGCAAGCCAGAGACAAAGAGACATCTCGGTCTCGGATCAAAGTGGTTCTTGACATCGGCGTAAGGATCGAGAATCGCTCTACATGCATGCTCAAGAGCAAGACGACCAAGCTTGCCTTGAGCCTCTGCATCCTGACGCTGACGGCGGATGGTGACTTTGTCGACTTCCGCCGCATGCCCATCTATCGCTGTACCGGAGAGAAGCGCTTCACCGTCCACGTGGAGCTGAACGACATTCGCACGCGCATCCTGACCTACGCTGCATGCGATGAGATCGCAGGGACGACGATGCAGACGAGCCTTTTGCCCGTGGATATGGCCAACGGATCCCACCGCGTCCAGGTTGCACGTGCAGAACTGGGGCAGGGCGGCAGCTGCGCATCCGACACCGACTCGACGATGCAGGTCCAGGCCGGAATCGCTCCAGTGTCCGCAGAAAGAGCTGCTGCTACACAGAATGGTTCCAGCAGGGATCGCATCCAGGCTTTGGCGGACGTTGATGGTGGACGAGAAGAGCCGGACCATGATGAAGAGCTCTCCGGAAAAAGGTCAGTACAAGCTTGGAGTGATCACGAAAGCCCGCTCCATGCTGTGCTGACGATCAAGCCGTGCGACTCTCTTGTGACTTTAATCCGCTGATGATCACGTCCTCTCCACATCACATGCCTTTCGCCGAACTTGCTTGGTGTCTGCAACTTTTTCGCGACCAGCAGATGCAAGCACAATTGCAAAAGCTCCTGTCGCCACAAATGCTGTCAACGATCCAGAGATTTGAACGACTCGACGGTGACGAGGAGGTATCGTTTCCAGGATCGCTCTGTCGATGCTCCCTACCCCAGCCCAGCCTTGCGAGTGGGCACCTCATCAACGCAGCGGCCCGATGGCCCCACCAGCCCGCAAAAGAGAAAGGCGATCGAGGCTTTGTATGCCGATGACGACGACTCGCTCGATCTCTTGGGTCGGCTCGACCGTCTGTTCCCTCAACCCGAGCGCGTGCCCACGCCCGCTGGACCGATGACAATGACGAAAGGTGACGAGATGGATGCATTGTCACCGGGAGAGTTGGAGCATCGAGACGGCGACAAGTCTCCGATGCATGGCTCGCGCTCCCTCTTGGCGGGGCCGAATGCATCTTCCGCGCCGGCCTCAGCGGCGAGCACAAGCGAAAGACCGCCTCAAAGACGCTTTCTCAAGATGCTTGGCAATCCTTCCTGGCTCAGCGGCGCCGAGGCAGCAGACGGAACTGAAACGGAGGAAGCACGCCCGGCGGCTCCTGTCGGGAAGTAATACCGCCACATCAAGACCGGCACGGACCGGTCACAGCGTGGCAAAAAGGGCCGAGGTGCGTCAGTCGCGCTCCTATCGACGCTGCTCGTTGACAGAAGCAAGCGCCTCGAGATGCCCATGGCGTGCGGCTGCGGCTTTCCTGTATTGCACTCCTTGAAATGCACCTGCGATGTTTGAACCGGGCTGCGGGGCAGGTGGTGGGACTCGCTGAATCCTGCCGAGTGGATTTTCTGCAGAAAAGGGAAGGACGACCGCGTCGCGCGTCGCGCAAAGAGCAACACCCGTGCGTCGTGAGGCGGGCGTTGGCAGGGTGGAGGGCGTGGCTCAGTCGCGCTGGTCTGCCGCGACGGACCGCGCGCTCGTGCCGCGTAAAGTCTGAAGGCGAGGCGCGGCGGTGGGTATCAACTTCCTATTCATCGTCAAGGCTGCTTCCTGCTATCATCCCTTCCACTATCCGCATTCTCATCATCCGTATCACCAACACATCTCTGCTTATTCTATAACGTCCATCTGGATGCACAGATAGCTGCTCGTCTACCCTAAGCAAGCCAGCTCGAGTGCACGCCTCTCAGGCCCCAAGTCGGCTGCACAGCTCAGTCATTGCCATTGCCTCTCTTTGTCGGCTGTGCCGAAGCTGCTGAGATGACGAAAATGCCGAGCAAAGCAGGCACCAAGCAGTCGTCGCTGCTGGGCTTCTTTTCCAAGGCCCCGGCATCGCAGATACCAGCCAGATCAGCCGCATCCCCCCCACGATCGGCTGCAGGCCCTGCCCCAGCATCCAAACCAGACTCAAAGAGCGTAGCCAAGGCTGCCTCGCCGCTCAACAAGACAAAAGGACAGGCGCAAGCGCTCGACACACCTCCTCCCAGCGAGCATCGATCGAGCTCGCGCGCCTCTCGCTCCGACGCCAAATCTGCTCCCAACAGTGCGGCTTTAGAGGCTCCTTCTTCCTCTCCCACCTACCACCGTTCGAGCTCCCTATCCACCGACAACCTCCTTCCCACCACACAAGCGCAGGCAGCCACAAAGCCAAGGCCCAGCAAAACGTCCGACTCTGAAGAGCTCACTCCGCCTCCAAGCAGCGACGCCGGCGACATGGACATCGACGAGGACATCGACGAGGACGACGAGGTCGAGCAGCCACTCTTCCGTCGACGCGCCGTAGCAAAGCGACCCGTCACATATGCCGAATCCGACTCGGAAGGCCATGCCGCCGTCGACAGCGACAGCGAAGACGACATGCCCACCCGCAAGCGCTCCTCGGCCAAACGCGCGCGCAGGTCCCGCGACGAGGACGACTTTATCGTTCCCGACGACCACGACGAAGACGACGACCTTCCCATGGATGCCGCAGCCATCTCTGACGAAGACGACGCGCCTGCAGCGTCGGAGGAGAGCGATGCCGACGACTTTGCTCCGGCGTCCAAGCGCAGCAAAGTCAAGAAGCAGACGAGCAAGTCGAGCTCTTCTCCGCCAGCCTCCTCGCGGCCAGGTCCCACTTCCGCACTGTCCAACTTTGCCATGGGTCGTGGCGCTTCGGGCTCATCTCCATCGGTGGGTCGCAACGGTGCCAGCAACGGCGGTCCCCGCAGCGGCCCATCGTCTGCGAGCCTGTCTCACCTGACCAAGGCCGAGCGCCGCGTCATCGAGGAGAAGCGCAAGCGCGCCGAGAACGAGCAGGCGTACAGCTTCCTCGTCGACCTGCGCGACAAGGACGGCAACCGCCCTGGCGACGCAGAATACGACTCGCGCACCGTCTTCATCCCCAAGTCGGCCTGGAAGGATTTCACGCCGTTCGAGGAGCAGTTCTGGCGCATCAAGCAGAACCACTGGGACACGGTGCTCTTCTTCCAGAAGGGCAAGTTCTACGAGCTATACGAAGAGGACGCGCTGATCGGACATCGCGAGTTCGACCTCAAGCTCACCGACCGCGTCAAGATGAAGATGGTCGGCGTCCCCGAAGCCTCCTTTGACATCTTTGCGGCCAAGTTCCTCGCGCTCGGCTACAAAGTCGGCCGTGTCGACCAGACCGAGACCGCCGTGGCCAAGGGCATGCGAGTCGGCGAGCGTTCGCGCGGCGGCGGCTCCGAGATCGTCAACCGTGAACTCCGCCACGTGCTGACCAGCGGCACCATCGTCGACGCGGCCTCGCTGCCCGACGACCTCAACAGCTACTGCGTGTCGATCAAAGAAGATGCTTCGGCCGGGCGCAATGGGCCGCTCTTTGGTGTGTGCACGCTGGATGCATCCACAGCCGAATTCAACCTCACCGAGTTCGAGGACGACGAGTCGCGCACCCGACTCGAGACCCTGCTCCGTTCGCTTCGTCTCAAGGAAGTGCTCCACGAGAAGGCCGGACTCTCGCCGCAGACTCTGCGCGTCCTGCGCAGCACCGTACCGAGCACGGCACAAATTACCATGCTCAAGCCCGGCGTCGAGTTCCTGGAGCCAGAGACCACCTTGAGGAAACTCAACGCGCTCTTCAACCCCGATGTGGACGCCGAGGCTCGCATCGAGGCGCTCGAACCCGTCGACCCCGCGCTCCTCCCGGAAGGCATCGCCTCGATGGTCGACCGCGCATGTGCCATGTCGGCGCTCGGCGGCATGCTCTGCTATCTGGCCCAGCTCAACCTGGATCGCGACCTGTGCTCCAGCCGCAACTTCAACATCTTTGACCCGCTCAAGCAGGACAAGTGCTTGGTGCTCGATGCACAGTCGCTCACGCATCTCAACGTCCTGCAAAATGACGAGGGCACAGAAGAAGGCACGCTCCACCGCCTCCTCAACCGTTGCGTGACGCCATTTGGCAAGCGTCTCTTCAAGATCTGGTTGGTGGCACCCCTCGCGACGGCAGACTCGATTCGAGCGCGTCAAGACGCCGTCGAAGACCTGCTCAAGTATCCCGGCTTCGGCGATGAATTTGAAACATTTGGCAAGACGCTGCCCGACATCGAGCGCATCGTGCCTCGTGTGCGCGCAGGCAAGTGCAGGCCGCGCGACTTCACCGCCGTGCTCAAGGCTCTCACCCGATTCGAAAAGTTCGTCCGACAGCTTCGGGCCCAGTGCGACGGCTTCGAGACTGCGGTGATCAGCGACCTGCTCGACTCCATCCCGGCGGTCTCGCCCATCGCGCGCGAGCTGCAGTCGAGCTTCAGGATGACCGAGGACGGCTCCTTCAATCCGATCGAGGGCGCTTTCGAGCCGTACGACCGCGCCGAGGCTGCCATCGCCAAGGTCGAGGCGCAGCTCGAGCACGAGATCGATTCGTACCGCAAGCAGCTCAAGCTGACCTCGGCCAAGTGTGCGTGGAAGCATCTCGGCACCAAGGACATTTTCCAGATCGAAGTGCCTGTCTCCACGAAGGTGCCGGCCAACTGGACGAAGCTGAGTGGCACCAAGGACCGCAACCGCTGGTACTCGCCCAAGGTGCGCGATCTGGTGCAGGACATCAAGGAGGCACGCGAGACGCGCCTCGCCGCTCTCAAGCAGTTCCACCAGAGTCTCTTTGCGAGCTTCTCGGAGCAGAGCGATGTCTTCCTGCAGGCCGTCAAGACTGTGGCCGAGGTCGACTGCCTGCTCTCGTTGGCCAAGTCGTCGTACGCGATCGGCGAGCCGTCGTGCCGACCCGAGCTGGTGGAGCACGAGACGGCGCTGCTCGAGTTCGAAGAGTTGCGACACCCGTGCATCGCTGGCGAGAACGTCGACTTTATCCCGAACGACATCCGGCTGGGCGGCAAGAACGACGAGGTGGCCATCCTGACCGGAGGCAACATGGCGGGCAAGAGCACTACGGCGCGCACCAGCGCCACCGCGGTGATCCTGGCGCAGCTGGGATGCCGTGTGCCCGCGGCCAGCGCGCGCCTGTCGCCGGTGGACCGCATCGCGTCGCGCATGGGCGCCAACGACCAGATCTTCCGCAACAACAGCACGTTCATGGTCGAGATGCTCGAGGCGTCGCGCATCATCAATGAGTGCACGCCGCGCTCGCTGGTCATCATGGACGAGCTGGGACGAGGCACGAGCACGTTTGACGGCCAGGCGATCGCCTTTGCAGTGCTGCACCACCTCGTCAGCCGAACGCGCTGCCTCACCTTCTTCCTCACGCACTACACGAATCTGGCGTACGACTTTGACTCGTACTCGCGCGTCAGCAACAAGCACATGCAGGTGCTCGTCGACGACGCCAAGCGCGAAGTCATCTTTACGTAAGTACATGCTGCGTCATCGACAACGGACAAGAGATTGTGTTTCTCGGACCACTGACATTGCGAATCTCTTTTGTTGATGGAACAGATACCGGTTGGTGGATGGCATCGCCGAGTCTTCGTACGGCACTCAGGTGGCCGCGCTTGCTGGTGTGCCGCACGAGATCTGCGACCGTGCTGCGGCGGTGTCGAAGCAGTTTGCGGATGCCACCAAGGCGAGCCAGGCCGAGAAGAAGGGCAGCGCGATCCCGCTTGCGCTGCTGAGCGACTTTGTGCACCTGGTCAAGCTGGCCAAGCAAGAGGCGCCTGCCTCGAGCGATCGAAACGCCGAAGCCAAGGCACGCGCGACGCTGTCGCAGCTCGACATCATCCGCTCGCAAGTAGCTGCGCTGAGCAAGAGAGCTGCTCCCGCCCCCCTGACTTGTACGTAGCGCTCGAGCTCCGATTCTCTCTTCGAATGTCACGAGGCGTGTGTACTCATTACCCATCCTGCCTTTTGTCCCCTGTTTGTCTCTTTACGTGATCGCTCGACCTCAATACCTCAACGCGGACATGAAGAGCAGCTGGTATCCCTGCTGGAAGCGAGGAACGGACCGATGCTACGGGTCAGCCAAGCGAGCCGGTGCGAACGGCTGCTAAAAAGGTGACGACATACGCTGGACGCAATCGACGAGCGCTGACGGAGGATCCGTTGGCACCGACGAATCTGGTTTCGAGCAACGCGGACGAGGACGAAGCGATGCCAAAAGCTCAAAGCAGTCCGATCCTCGGTGCCACGCTTACGCCGTTGTTCCCGACGATGCGGGCAGCAAAGACTGCGAATCGCAAGGCTGGCCCCAAGCCGGCGTCGACAAGTTCAGCACGGGAGCCAGAGCAGCTGATTCTCGACCTAGGCCAGCGGATTCGAATCCGGTGTGCAGAGTGCGACATGCAGTACGATTCGTCGTCGGCCGAGGACTGTACGCTGCATGCGCGCCACCACGAGCGCACCGTACGCGGGTTGGACTGGAGCGCCAAGGCGCTTGCAGTATGGGGTGAGCCGGTCGCGCAAGTGACGCTTACGAGGCCAGCAACCAAGACCGCCCTGCGCGGAAAGCAAGTCAGAGGAGGAGCGACAGGCCAGTCGGAAGCGGTCACGATCCGATGCTACGACATGGCGACTCTCAAAGACGCCGTTGCGAATCGCAAGATCACGGAGCTGTTGGAGACGGTGGATGAAGCGTTGGGAGCAGCCGCGATGGATGCAGCTAGCGTACGGACGTGCAAGGTGCTGGTAGCAGTGTGTGAGGGCAGAGCAGCAGGTGCAGCGGTCGTAGGACGGGTGCCTGCAGGCCAGGCGCGCGAGGTGCTGCCATCGAACACGGACAAGGAGAACTGCACTACCGATGAAGCTGAATCGACACGGGCAGGGACGGTATGGAACGATGCGGGCGACGCGATCTTTGTGTCGGATGCGTTGTCGGCCTCGCAGACGCCGCCGGTCGGGGTTCATCGCATCCACGTGATTGCGAGCTGGCGGCGTACGGGGATGGCGAGCGCGCTGCTGGATGCAGCCGCCGACAACAGCGTGTATGGCTTTGACCTGCAGGGGCTCATCAGGACGTACGGCAGCCGCGCAAAGGCAGTGGCGTTCAGCCAGCCCACCGAAGCCGGCCGCCAGCTGGCCGAGGCGTGGATCCGCAAAGGCGCGCCCTCGACGACGAGCAGCCCCACACGTCTGATTGTCTTTGAGGCGTGATATCGCCCAGCAAATCATCATTCACAGTCTCGTCGCGCGGAAGGTCGTGCATAATCAAGATACCCTGTTAGCGATCCATTTGAACAAAGAGATTATGCCCGCAACTTGCAGTGTAAGTGCAGAGCTTAGGCTCAGATATAGCCTGCGAAAGAGGCAGGAGTGAAGGCAGCGAAGGGGGAATGAGTGGCCAGGCTTGTATCGTGCGGGTGAGGTTTTGCAATTTTCGCGCCAGTTGGGCCAACGCGCTGCCAGCTGCCAAAGCTGCAACGGCAGGGCGGGGAGAGAGGAAGGAGGCTGCGAGAGCGAGAGCGAGACCGAGTGATCCGAGCGGCGGCGCGAAATGCACGTTGGAAATGCGCTTCTTGGCTGGGGCTGCCTGTGGTGAGCCGTGTTGAGCTGGAAGAATGGCTGCTGCTGGGCCGCAGCGACGTGTCTGCGTGTCTCCGCCTTCGCTGCTCTGCTGCCACGCAATCGCCAGGTTGGGATCGTCGGCCCGTCCGCAATCGACCCAAGTCGAGTCCAACACTGACTCTCATCACACTCTCTCACACCTTCCACCCGTTTCCTCACCATCACCTCGCCATCAGTATAGAGCTCGTTCCGGCCGCGCTGCATCGACATCACCCACTCTGCCGGACGCTCCCTGTGAGAGCGAGCACATCCATCTTCACTGGCAGCACACACGTGTGAGACAACTCTCCGGCCCTCTCCCTCCCCCACGCGCACAAACGGCAACTCACCATGGCGTCCTCCGAGGCCATCGCCTATACCGTCGTCGCTCCCGACCCGAGCAGCGACGGCATCGAGCTCTCCACCCAGGACCTGCGCAACAACCTCCAGCGCGGCTCCGACGAGATCAAGCTCGAGACCCTCCGACGCATCATCGTGTCCACCCTCAACGGCTCGCCCCAGCCCAACCTGCTCATGCCCATCATCCAATATGTCCTGCCCAGCCGTAACAAGCAGCTCAAGAAGATGCTCCACTTCTACTGGGAGGTCTGCCCCAAGCTCGACGAAAAGGGCAACCTCAAGCAGGAGATGATCCTCGTTTGGTACGTCTGAGCTTTTATTCTCCGCATGCCCGCCTCTGCATCCCTTTGCTGACCCTTTGCTCCCCGTTCCTCATACCCGCAGCAACGCCATCCGCAACGACCTGCAGCACCCCAACGAGTACATTCGTGGCTCCACTCTGCGCTTCCTCCAGAAGGTCAAGGAGCCCGAGCTTCTCGAACCGCTCATCCCCACCATCCGCCAATGTCTCGAGCACCGCCACAGCTACGTGCGCAAGAACGCCGTCTTCTGCGTCTACTCGATATACCAGCAGAACGAGAACCTCATCGTCGACGCGCCCGAGCTCATGGAGACCTTCCTCGCCGCAGAGGCAGACACCACCTGCAAGCGCAACGCCTTCGTCCTCCTCTGCCACACCGCTCCCGAGCGCGCCGTCCAGTACCTCCTCGNGCAGAGGCAGACACCACCTGCAAGCGCAACGCCTTCGTCCTCCTCTGCCACACCGCTCCCGAGCGCGCCGTCCAGTACCTCCTCGGCCTCGGCGACCAGATCGCTTCCCAGGATGAGCTCATGCAGCTCGCCATCATCGAACTCATCCGCAAAGACTGCCGCGGCGACTCGCCCAACCGTCCGCGCTACATCCGCGCCGTCTCCGAGCTCCTCGCTGCACCCAGCCACTCGGTCAAGTACGAGGCCGCCACCACGCTCACCACGCTCACCCAGAACGCCGCCGCCGTAAAGGCAACCGCAAGCGCGCTCATCGAGCTCGCCGTCAAGGAGAGCGACAACAACGTCAAACTCATCGTGCTCGACCGCCTCGACGCCCTGCGTTCCAAGCACGAGCACGTCATTGACCCGCTCGTCATGGACCTCCTCCGCGTGCTCTCCAGCCCAGACATGGACGTCCGTCGCAAGGCGCTCCGCATCGCCCTCGAGATGGTCTCCAGCCGCAACATCGAGGAGGTCGTGCTGCTGCTCAAGAAGGAGCTCATGAAGACCGTGGACACTTCGCAGTCCTCCCAGGACAAGAACCTCGAGTACCGCCAGCTCCTCATCCAGTCCATCCACACCTGCGCCATCAAATTCTCCGAGGTGGCCTCCAACGTCGTACACGTGCTCATGGAGTTCCTCGGCGACTCCAACAACCCTTCCGCCGTCGACGTCATCGCCTTTGTACGCGAGGTGGTCGAAAAGTTCCCCGACCTCCGCTCGTCCATCGTGGACAAGCTGCTGCGCACCTTCACCGACATCAAGTCCGGCAAGGTCTTCCGCGGCGCGCTCTGGATCGTCGGCGAGTACTGCGCCAGCATCGAAGACGTCAAGGAGGCCATGCAGCAGATCCGCAAGGTCATCGGCGAGGTACCCATCCTCGCCGCCGAGGAGCGTCTGCTCGAGGCTTCTTCCACCGGCGTCGAGGCCGAAGCGGCTGCCGAGCAGACCGATGCCGGCGCCTCGTCCTCGGCGCTTGGCGCAGCGGCAAAGTCGTCGGCCGCCAACCGCGTTCGTGCCGACGGCACCTACGCCACCGAGACCGCCTTCAGCTCCGAGGCCAACCAGGCGGCGCGACTCGAGGCGGTCAAGAGCGCATCCAAGCCGCCACTACGCTCGCTGCTGCTGCTCGGCGACTTCTACACGGGCACGGTGCTCGCCTCGACGCTCACCAAGCTCGTGCTGCGCTTTGCCCAGCTCTCGTCGGACGCGACGGCCAAGAACGGCCTGCGCGCCGAGGCGATGCTCATCATGACGAGCATCGTGCGTGTGGGCCAGTCCAAGTTTGCGGCGACGCCGATCGACGAGGACTCGGTGGAGCGCATCATGGCGTGCGTCGAGACGCTCGCTTCGAGCATGCAGGAGGCGGAGCCCGAGAGCGAGGAGGCCAACGAGGTGTTCCTGCACGACACCAAGGCGGCGTACACCAAGATGGTGGAGCACGAGCAGGCCAAGCAGGCCGAAAAGCTCGCCAAGGAGACCAAGGTGGTCAAGGTGCAGCCGGACGATCTGCTGTCGTTCCGCCAGTTCTCCAAGAAGGCGGCGGACGATGCGGCCGAGGAGTACGAGCGCGAGCTCACGCAGGCGACGGGCGCGGCCGAGGCGGCCAAGGACGACTTTATCTCGAAGCTGGCGCGCGTCGTGCAGCTGACGGGCTTCTCGGATCCGGTGTACGCCGAGGCGTACGTCAACGTGCACCAATTTGACATCCTGCTGGATGTGCTCGTGGTGAACCAGACGGCCGAGACGCTGCAGAACCTGTCGATCGAGTTTGCGACGCTGGGCGATCTGAAGCTGGTGGAGAGGCCGTCGAACTACACGCTGGCGCCGTACTCGTACCAGTCGATCAAGGCGACGATCAAGGTGTCGAGCACCGAGACGGGCGTGATCTTTGGCAACATCATCTACGAGGGTGCGGCGGGCACGGGTACGCAGAGTGCGGGCGATGCCAAGTGCGTGGTGCTCAACGACATCCACATTGACATTATGGACTACATTGCGCCTGCGTACTGCAACGAGGCGCAGTTCCGCGCCATGTGGACCGAGTTCGAGTGGGAGAACAAGGTGAACGTCAACACTGCCATCACCGACCTGCGCGAGTATCTGGCGCACATTATGAAGAGCACCAACATGTCGTGCCTCACGCCCGATGCGTCGCTTGCGGGCGAGTGCGGCTTCTTGTCCGCAAACATGTATGCCCGCTCGCTCTTTGGCGAGGATGCGCTGGCCAACCTCAGCATCGAACTGCTCCCGGACGGCAAGACGATTCAGGGCCACGTCAGGATCCGCTCAAAGACGCAGGGTATCGCACTCAGCCTCGGCGACAAGATCACACTCGCCCAAAAGGCCGCCTCCAAAGACTGAGCCCCCGCCAGACCCCTTTTTTTTGCAAATGTTCAAGTTTTCACATCCCAGACGTTGACTCGTACAGCTGCGTGGACTCGAGTGAAGGGACGCCCTCACAGACGATCGATGAGAATGAAGGCACGTGCAGGCGCGTGACTGTGAGTGAAGGGACCCCATGTGAGACAGTATCGACCGAGGGCTTGCGGGATTAGGCGTACCATCCGCGCGTGTCTGGGCCGGGAGCGCCACCCTGCCTCGGCCTGTTTGGGAACGGATTCTCCGGACGCGGAGGGGCGAGGTCGTCCCAATCCGGATCGCCGTGGCGCGGGGGATGCTGGGGTCTTGCACCGCCCACATCGGGCTCGTTGGGGAAGATGGGATCGAATCGCGCCCCCGGAGGCACAGCGCCGGGCGGCAGCCCCTGTGCACCGGGCGGTGGGAATCGGTTTCGGAACATGGGGTGGTCCGGTCCGACGTACATCCCACCGCCCGAATCACCGCCGGGGAACAGCGGTGGCGGTGCAAACCCGCCCGCACTGCCACCTCCAAATCGCGGCGGAAGACGCAGTGGGGATCCGCCAAGCGGATCCAGATCCCTATCGCCGATCGTCATGGGGTTGCGACCCGGGAACATGCCCGCTGGCTGGGTCGGATCATCTTCGTCGCCTGCAAACGGCGCACGCGGAGGCGGCGCCGAGCCTGGGTACGGACGCTGCGGTTGCGACGACGATCCTCCACGCGAGTCTCCCTCCCTTGTGGTTGCGCTGGTGTTGTATTCGGTCGTTTCCTCCGTATACCCATCCTTTCTCAGACCGGGTACGAGCGTCTGCAGCACCTGCGTCTTGTACGCAATCACGAGGTCCTTGATCCTCGCCGAGCCGATGAATCCATTCACGAGCGGCTCCGCGTCTCCCTGTGGTGGCGGGTACGGAAAGAAGGACGCAGAAAAGTGGTCGGCCAGCACGATCTCGAGCGTGCTCGTCTTGGATCCCTGCAGCGCGATGCCATGCACAACGACGCGCCCGCCGAGCTTGACGAGCTTGACCATGTAGTCGAGCGACGACTGGTGGTGTTTGTACCGGAAGCAGTAGTGGTCCGGTCCCTTGGCGTTCCATTCGCCCGGCAGCTTGTTGGCCGCCACGCTGGCATCTGCG